AATAATCGACTATGATTGGTCAATTTCTTACGGTTTAAAGATTAAATACTTATTGTGGACTGAGATGTGGCATGGCCCTTACTGCTTAAATTTTTTTATGTGCCACGGCCCTTATTTGAGTAACACATGTATTTGGGTTAATTATTATTAAAATTGTACGCATTAATATTCGCGTTTGACTTTTATTAACCATTTACTTTGTATTAATTGTATTAATTTTAACAAACATGTAACTGTAGACTTTCGTAAATACTCAAATAGAAAAAAAATATAATTATTGACAAATTGGCGATCAGATTTTTCTTAATGAACAAAAAAGTGTCATTTTAATGCGTTTCGGAGGAAGCGCAATGAACATACCCGCATCTATCGACCAATAAACGAGCGTCACACGCGCCTGTCCGTACCGCGTGAACGTTGCACGAATCGCGCGCGTCGTGTGACCCCACAATGGGTTGCGGGTCACGGGGTGAAGACGGGGTAAAGGGAGGGTGATCGGGCTTCCTCGCGTATCTCGTACATACGCGTATCTCCGTACTGAAAATGGCCGCCAGCTGTCACTCGCCTACGAAGTGTCGCTTGTTGTGAAGGAACACGACGCGGATTCGTCGCGGGACAGTTTCCCGAACGTGCAACACGCCACGATGCATTTGCGTAGCGACACGCGGTTTGTTCACTGAGATCGCACGAGTTGCCGTGGGTGTGAAAAAGAGAAAGAGAGGGAGTGCGAGTGAGCGAGTGAGTGATAGAGAAGAAAAAAAGCAAGAAAAAAAGAAGATAGCGGGGAACGCGGAGTACGAGTACGCGAGGTCCCACAACGGTGTTGCTTCCATGGTGTCATGAGAGCGTGGTCAGCTCGGCTGTTTATAGTTTTTGTTTTGCGCGTAGTACGCGGCTAGTCTGCTGTTCGCGCGATCGGTAGCGCGGCCGTGCCGTCCACCACCACCGCCTCCTCCTTCTCTTCGATCTGTTCGTGAATCGGTCTCGCAAGCCGCATTCTGGTATTCCTCGCCGCGCGTGCTGTCGCGGTACAACACTCCCCCTTGGGATTTCTCGTTTTCGCTCATTTTACAATTCCCGAGGAGACAGTCAAGGTAAATAGGTCTTGCTGGATAACATCAGAATTCTGGATAACCTTTTTCATTGCTTGGTTTATGTTGACGCTTGTTTAGGATTCTTGTTTTTTGCTACATAATTATATCCGTACTTTGCGATTTTTTCTTTTTTTTCTTTTTTTTTTTGGTAAAAATGGACAATTCTGTTCTTATATGTACGCGTTGTTGCCGCGTGAGTATCAAGTTTTCTTGTACACAAATGAATTGTTTTTCTATAAATATATTATGCTAGTACAGTCAATATAAAAGATAATTATCAACATGATAAATATTAATTTATTTTTATTTTGTTTTATTATACACTATGCGTTTTTATTAAAATTAGTCATATAAATGTACATGTTACGAACATTGACTTTGGTAATTTAATGAGAAATTGTTTTTTTCTCAGAAAAACAGAATGGGTTCCAGTCAACAGTTTTCTCTTAGATGGAACAATTATCTGAAACATATTACTTGTGCTTTCGACACATTAAGGACAGACGAAGATCTTGTAGATGTTACTCTAAGTTGCGAAGGCAAAAGGATTAGAGCACATAAAATGCTTTTGTCAGCCTGCAGTACATACTTTAGAGATTTGTTCAAGGTAAATATAATTTGGATCCATTCATCTTGTTCATTTAAATGTAGAAAAAAAATTTTTTTATATGTATGTATATATATATATATATATATATATGTATTATTATATAATTTGTTATATTTTAGGAAAATCCATGCCAACACCCTGTCATAATATTCCGCAATGTTAAATTCGATGACTTGGCTGCCTTGGTAGATTTTATGTACCAAGGCGAAGTGAACGTTGTTCAAGAACAATTAGCAAGTTTCTTGACAACAGCAGAACTTTTGGCAGTGCAGGGCCTTACAGATGGCACAGGAAAGGACGACAGTTTAGTAGAGGTGAATTATTAACATGTAATATTGTAACTTTTAAAACATCTCTATTTGATTTTGTCGCAAGATTTAACATTTTAATAGAAAGAAAGAGTAAGTTTTTCATCAATGTTATAAAATGTGCTATCTACCACGATCGCTCACAAGAAATGATACCAGAACCATATTCTGTTCATTCTCAAGTTTAGTCAGTTATTTTGGGATTAATTTCATGTTTAATACTTTTATCTATATTTTAACAGAATATTTTTCTTCACAAAAATATTCTGTTATGTTAAAATGTCATATGTAGAATAATATCTCGAATCGAATTCTACCTCCATCTTTTACTCGACAGGCAAATGCTCTATCATTGAGCCTATTTGGTATTCTTGTATATTATCTTTTAGGATGACATAGAAATTCCCAATGAGCCTGAAGTTCAGTTGCAAAACACTTCTGGTAAATCTACAGGGGATAGTAAGAGGAATAAATCCCCATCATCTCCGATGCCATACCATGCCGTTGAATTGCAACCTGAAATACCGCCAAACAAGAGGAGAAAAATTCGAGAAAGTGCAAATATGAATGCGGAGAAGAATTCAGCGGGGATCAATGCGAAGGATTGCGATGGAAAAACGTCGGAAAATCAAACGGGACCGGGTTCTGATCCAGTCGAAATAATTCCTCTTATGCCGAACTTGAAGTTAGAGATGCCGGAATACTTGGAGCAAGATGGTAGCAGTTGTAGTTATGAAGATCAGAGTATAGGCGATAATGCATTGAACAAAATCAACATTGACGATACATCGTCGACCACGCCTGATCATGAACAGAAACCCGATATCACTCAAACATTCTACTCGAATCAGTCGACATCGGATGGTTTAGACAATAAACATCAATCAGATGTTGGTAAGTATCTTCGTATATGATAATTTCCAGAATTCATTAAAAAATTTTTCACCTTATCCATTTTGACCAGTTACTCAATATAATTTTTTATATAGTTTAACGGTTTTTTTGTCTATTAGGACACCTGCTATCTAAACCAAGTACTTCGGGAGAAAGGGCAACGCAGGATGCAGTACAGGGTAAGTGATTGTCTATCTTTTGTCATTACTTATTACGAATTATAACATGGTCTATTGTTCTGCTATTACAGTTAAGTGTTTTGCAGATATATAACACACACACACATACACACACACACACACACACACACACATCCATTACATATATAGATTGTATAATAGATTCATCAAATTAATAGTGGATTATTCATTTAGAGCTTGAAAATTAACATCTAATGTATAATTTAAACCAGAAGTTGTAAATTATACATATAGTATACATGTAATAGAAATAACAAATTATTTTTATTTAAATTTAATATTTAATCATTTGTGATTCACAAAATATTAGTGATATGCATATATTCATAGTAATAGCAGTACAATAAACTTTCAAGTTTTGTATCCACATGATCCACATAAGTTCTAAGTTTGCAATAAGTTGTAAGTTTCCTATATATATCAAGATTTGATACTTTGAATATTAATATAAGAAAATTTTACATAATTAATTTCAATTACGAACTATTCTACGATACACGAATGCATTCTAACTTCAGTGGTGATGGATTAATTGCATGTATTGTGGGTACAAAACCAGAACAACAAACACCTTGATACATGAAGTTTTAATTGCATTTAGAAGAGTACTTGATTTCATGAATTAAGGTTCTGCAACAATTGTTTTGATTACAATAAGAAGGAAGATAATTCTTTCCTATTGTGATACTGTGATCTATTCAGTGAGGGGTAGTTAGTTGATTGAGTTTTCACATCAAACTGTACAATGGTTTGGTAGCTATGCAGCTTTGCATTACTTATACACGCACACAAATAAAAATTAGAGGAAGAGATTAGGTTCTATTCAAAGACAATGTGAAGATGTTTGTTATTACTTTAACAACGATAAGTATTTCAAGAAAAAATTTCAGGTTTTAATCATAACTTTTCCTTCCTAATGTGGACCTGGTTCTTACTAATAACAAAATCTTTAAGGATAATAAATAATTGATAACGCTTTTCACAATTTTACAAAACGCATTATGTTTTATCCTATAATATATATCGCTATTAAAATTTTAATAGTTTTTTACAATGCTTTGTAAAATATTGTTTCTTTATTTTTTAACTGATCACTCTTGCATTTTTGAATGGAATCAGGTTCACAGCCTTATTATAGCAAATTTCTAAATATTAACTTTGATAAATATGCGTGATATATTCCCTGCTTTATAACAGGGACAACTACTTTTTCTTCCACCGATTATATCGAGATTTACTCTTAATGTACAGAGTGCATGGTGTTTTGGATGTAAATGTATGGTACAGGCACTCGGGTGTAGGTTGAACTGTAGATACTAGTAAGCATTGCCAAGTGTTGTATGTGTGCCGACAATCATCAACATTCCTTTTTTTCAATAACTTGATCAAAGCCACCACTATTCCTCATGCGCACTAACTGTAAACATACCTCTATGTATATATATATATATATATATATATATATATATATATATATATATAACTAAATAAGAAATACCTTTCGATACTGGTTCAAGGCAACTTTTTCGTAAAATATCTAATTCATATGTATAGCGCGAATCCTATTACACGCACACACACATTATTTATTTGCATGTAATGTTAATCTTAAATATCGGGTTTTCAACCGTAAGAACGAAATACCGAGAATTAGTATTCGCTAAATAAGTTTTGGTAAAGTTTATTTTGAAAAATTTATTCTATAATATAATGAAATAAAATTTGTTATAATTTCAAGAACTTTTTTTTTTTAATACTAAATGTCGTATATATACATATATAATTTAATTTTTTATTTAAGAAAAACCATGTACTCCAAGTATCTTGAATACAATCGTTTTGATAAACGAATATCTTTAGATCAAAACTTTAAGTTTTACGCTTCGATGAAAATAATTTCGTCTAAATTTATTTACTTTTAATTAACAGCTCAATATATAGAGTTACGAAGATAAAATAATATCTCCGGTTGAAGATATTCCGAGGTAATTTTAACGCAACCGTATAAGAATAAGTTAATACATTTTTTTATATACTATATAATATTTTATGAAAATTATTCCATCTCGGATATAATTGTGAATTTCGTTCGAATGTTTCTCGAATTAGGATCTTCTTGCGATTGTATGATCGCTGCCGGATCAGAATCGATCAGTGTTGAAATTAATTTACAGAATGTGACAAAATGTTACTCTGTCGCGAAATATACCTTCGCGTGAATATGAACTAATTCTGAAGTAGTCAGGTGGTGGTGGTGCTCTGGTGACAGTGGCATGCGCGTGCAATCTTTCCTTTATATTTGATAACCCGAGAACAATTCTTTCTCTCCTTATATAAAATTCCATGGTAAATGGATGCATATGGGAAATATAATGATCAGTTGGATCCAATATTCTTCCAAAATCCGTCATTTCTGATATTATTCTTTGTTGATATTAGTAATAGATTTCTAAGAAAATTGATGTTGTGTTAATATTGAAAATTTTAGATATTTTTACAAATGTGATCAAATGTGAAAACCAAGTTTGAAAATATCTTAAAATAAGGATAAGATTGTGTTTTGTAACAGTTATATCAGTAAACAGATATTTTTGGATTATTTACATTTACATTTACATTTACATTTGTAATTTAATTTGTTATTTACATTTGTATTTATGAATTTGTTTATTAAATGCATGTTCGCAAGAAGGTGGGTAAAGAATATTTCTTATAAAATATCAAGATTTTGATATTGAATTGTCGTCTGTATAAATTTTAATATTTGACATTTATTCAATTTTGTTAATAAGTAAATCTATAAGGAGAAAATTATCTTCGTGCATCATTATATCTATTATATGTTTATTATTAGTTAATCACATATTTGGATTAAAACATAACGACAATGAGAGAATAGATGGAGAGTAGTGACGGATTTTGAAAGGCTATCGACGTGCGATGCATTTTCCTTGAGAAACTCTCATGAGTCTGGAGATTGTGAATATTTCTTAACATCCGAGTCGAAATTTTTCGGTTGCAAATATATACGGCCGGAGAAAGAATGAAAAGAAAGAAAAGAAATAACAGAAATAAGCATTTCGGCAGGTAGGTAATACTAGATCACAACGTTCGCTAAAGCAGAAGCATGAGTTCTATTAGTAGTCACAAAGATATCAAAAAGCTTGTTCCTTCATTTCAAGTGCTAACGTTATTATCGTTTATGTAGACGTTTCCGCGTAATAATATGACCCGTTGCGTTTCGCTTTCAAGCCGATTCGTCGCGTGGTCTTTCTCACCAACTGAATCTTAATTATGAATCTCTGAAGCTGCGGACTGTATTAATTGAACAATACGATATCTTGGATATGAAACATTTAATGAATTTTACCGTGATTTGCAATTAGAAAAAAAAAAAATATAATTTCTAATATCAGTAAGTTGAAGGATAATATTGGATTCACAAATCTTTGTCTTGTGAGGAGATAAGAGACAGAAACCATTAAATGAATGCTAGTCTTATTGATTACAGCAATCTCTTGGGTCAATTGGGACGACTTGGAAGTAGAAGGGTATTCTATGAATGTTTTCTATTTTCAAGCAATTATTTCTTTATTTCCAAGATATTGAATTGTTTTTTTGAAAATTATTTTGACACGCGAGTGTTTCGTCGATGGCCCTGTCGATGGCTATCGCGAGATTTGCGACGCGTCATGTTATCGAAGAAATCATAATCTAAGCTGAGGAATAAAATTAAATTACACCAAAAACGGACGATGAGTGTTTGTGTGGAAATTTGCGTTTTGCATTCGAAAGAGTGAATCAACTTCACGTAGTTATTTCAACGCAAGGCAAGGTACAACGATGAATCTACGATAAAGAAAGGCGAATCGGCGCCGCCTTTCTGTTTGCGATAAAAGCAAACCTCGTCGGGATATCGATCTCTCAGCAGGAGGTCGACGAAGCTCGCCATTGAGAAACACAGGAGGCTGGATACGCGAGCGTCCCAATCAATTATGTGCAATCAGCGTCCTCGTTCCAGCATCATCGATCGTACAAAAAGAGAAAGATTTCCCTCTTGAACTACAGAAGGTTTTGTTGTGATGGCTGATGAGCGGAGAAAACGCAGTCTTCTTTGGAAGATTCTGCAAAAGAACAATGAAACTTTCGAAGACCATTCGATTGACAAAAGGAATGATTTAAATTATCTTACGATTGTTTTCCATCATACTACGATAATAAACCTACCAAAAAAAAATCGAAAGACTCAAAGAAACGAAGTCTGAAACAAACTTGGAAGCGCTAATCTTCATTTGTTTAAATATCTTCACGTGGATCAATTTTTCCATGTGTTCTTTTGAGCTGATATTGCTCCATGATGAATTTCGATCAAATTTAAGATCATCGATTGATGTTTAGGGAGGGGGGGGGAGTACGTAAAAAGAGAAGCATTGCGTGATTTCATCCTCCGGAGAAGATGATACCAAAGACCGCGCGCTAAAAATTTAGTATATGGCGACGTGATCGTATGCGTGAACGCGTCGTAATTCGCACGATGTAACAATGACGATCGCGTTGAAAAAGGGAGCCTGTTGGTTTATCAGATCGTCGATGAGACACATTCTGTAGACACGGCTTTCTAGCGGTTACCGCTGCTGCGATTGTGGGATTAATGTGGTTGGTGCTGGGGATTGGTGCTGCTGCTGATGCTGTTGCTGTTGCTGCTGATGTCATCACGGTTTATTATTGTTACCCGGTGGATGATATACGGAAAGGTCTCTTTATTTTTTTCATTGTTGTATAACTATATAACTAATGGTTGCCTGCATGCCCCTACCGCGCCTACTACTTAAGAAAAAACTGACTAACCCGACACAGCCCAACCGTGCATTGTGTTTGTTATTGTTGTTGTTGTTGTTGTTGGCCACAACACTGTGTTTCTCTCCAGGAGGGTTTACATACGTATCTGGTCAGCCGCATAGCCTCAGCAAAGCGAACGGCCACGGGAAAGTGTGCGTGCACTGCAAGCAGCGCGGCATGGTAACGTCACGCGGCAAGCTCAGGCAAACCCGCTTCAAATGCTGGCCCTGCAATGCCTGTTTGTGCCGCTGGCCATGCTTCGTCGACTATCACAAAATGCGTGCGATCCCGCATATCCCGCCCCCCTAGCACCAACCCCCAATTTAGCGCCCCGCCAGCAGCGAAAAAAAGACTAATATTCCGTCCGCTCTGCGATTGGACCGATCGTATGAGCTACGAGTGGAGTGAAGATCGGTGTGAGAGAGACAGGTCTCGATGTAGGTCCATCATACCGAAAGAGAAAAAGAGGAAGGGATGAAAAAGGGAAGCGAGAAAGAAAGAGAGAGAGCTTTGATCAGCATTGTACACTGATATGATGTGCGCGAGCCTCTGTGTTTTCTTTATGCATACAGAATGTAGGATCGATTCCGCTAAATTGATAGAAGAAAATGATTTGATATTGATAAAATATATTTTATTTAAAAAAATTTGTCGTCTGAAAAATCATTAAAGTACCGTTAATATCTGAATTTTTATTGTGATCAGAAATTCAATGTCGAGTTAAAGAAATTAAGAAATTTATGTCATATTACGAGTATCAAATATCTTTCTTGTTAGAATCTTTTTGACGAATCTTTTTATATATTCTTGACAGTATTATGACGGTATATATTCTTTAAAGCAGGATATCATAATGTGACGTCCCTTAAATTCATCAGCATTATTTTTTGAGTTCTTCTTTCACTTCGGTTTTTAGTGTCTCGCCGCTTAGGCATTAAACAATGTATGCTTCATACAAAATGTTTATTAATTGCCAAACTAGCGTTTATTTATAACGATGTACGATTGTAAGTGTAATACTATGCATTAGAGTCTATTCAATAATGGAGATGAATGAAATGTGTACATTAATTATATGACAGTCCGTAAATATTTTTTTGCATGTTAATAATGTATATTGTTACTTATTATTGAGTAATGATTGCGATTAACGGCAGTATGATTTTTAACTTTAAATTATAATATTTCATATAAACATTGCGCTGTAAGTTACATGAGATTACCATTTCACTCACTCGAGAGTGCAGTCGAAATTAATTTGACGTTTATTCGAAAATTTCACAAAGAATTTGATTAACATTTTTTTTTTTTTCGAAATCAGATACGGTAAAAGGATAACGTAGAAGTTAACTTAAACAAATTAATGCATTTAAATTTTCTTTTTTAAAGATTTTTTCAAGATTGTTTGCTGTTGTACATACCATCGAAAAATTCGAAAAAATATAACAATGCAACAATAAATTACGAGTTATGATTTATGATGCCATCTTAATTTCGACTCTTTCCGTAAGACTGTTATATGTAGCCTTATTGACACAAACGATATGACATTGACATTTTTGTCAGTTCTATCAGTCACGTGTGCTGAATATATTCAGGATCTCGTATAGAATCTCGTTACCGCGAAGATCTAAATGTAACTGATTCATTAAGAAAATATTAAGTACAAAAAAATAGCAATTTCCTACTTGTTAAGGCAGCTCTTATGATTAGATTTGCTAAATTTGTAAGATAGTTTCAAGCAATCCAATATGTACAGTTTGTAACAGATGTAACTGTTGCTCAAGTTAATATGGTGCATTATGCGCTTTGCACAGTTACAAAGATCTCCCAAAATAGGATTAAGTTCGGCTATTCTGCGAAGTAAGATCGTCTAGATTCTCGTGTGGAACATCGCGAATTTAACTATAAGATAAATAACATATTGCAGTATTATCGAACATTTTGCAACATTACAAGTAACTATGGACTGACTATTATATTCATCGATTACACGATGTTAAAAAAAATGAAAAGATTAAATGTTTTTAACCATGATTTTCCTTCAATGTCTCGCTTTAAAATGCCCAATCATTTATATTAGTTATTATAAAAAATAACTTTCAAGTAAATTCTTATTTTAATTAAAATAACACATTTATCGTAATATTTACAAATTATATTTCAAGTTTTATAATGTCACAGCAGATCATGAAAAGTCTTTTCTAGAAAATTTATTTTAGAGTTTCAAGACTTGAAAGATTTAATTTGAAATTGAAGATTTAATTTAAAAATTACATGCTGAAAAGTAATGCGTAAACAGAAACACAGACATTTTCTCTAGATAAATTTTTTATATATATAAACGATGGCTAAAATGACTTATGAAATATGCAGCCGAAATATATGAAATGCAATACGTATTAATGAAAAGTATGACACTACCCTTAAGAACCTATATGCTTTTCTTAAGAGTTACTTTTGAACACAAGAGCTTACGTTATTGAACGTTCTTTAAAATGTTGGAATCATGAGAAACGAATCCTTCTCTGATATTTTCGACCGCCTGGGGGCTTAACGAGCTTCTGAATCTCTCTTCAATGGTGTCGTGTGTCTTCTGTTTCCTCTGTCTGATCTGATTAGGCTTGCTCTACTTAGCTTGCGCTTATCACGCACGTCGTAGGAAAAAGGCGCCAAGAACTGGCGAGAGGAGACGAGATATGATATCGTCGCTTTGCAAATATTTGGAAGCACTTTCTATCTTATATTTCATTTTATTTTGTTTTGCATTTTTTATATAACAATTATATCCTGTAGATTATACACAAGATATTGTTTTATTACGATAAACATTTGTTAAATATCATAATGATGTAACGAAAATGTGTGCATTTGTTTAATGAGAATTACATTAATGTAAGTTTATTTATGAAGAAATAATTTTTCAAAGTGTTTTTAACTCAAATATTGATGATGTGATATACGATAATAATATAATGTTTTTTATGACGAAATGAAGAAAGAGATGTTTAGAAAATTATAACCGTAGATAAGTAAATTCAGATTTTACTGAATATATTTTGTGTTTTTAAAATATAATACAGAAAAGTTACACATATAATTTCGAATGACAAGTCTCACCTTAGCATTTGTCTGTAGCTCGATATTTCCGGCAAATTTTACCGAGAAGTGCTTCCAACTTTTTGGAACAATCAGGATTTGGAACAATCAGCGTTGAAATCCTTTTCTCCGACGATCAGCCAAACAGTTTTTCACGGAATGGGTATTAAAATTTTTCCCTGAGAGAAAGCAAACGATAATACGCGCGATAATTCTCGAAATAGCAACACAGTATTAACTCTCGAGATGCGACTTCGGATTAGGGAAAAAAAACGCGGATATTCGCCGGCGTTGTGTAGCTAACAATGCATGGTGACGTTGTGTGTTTGTTGTTTTCTTTGTAGAACGTGGCGCGGATGGCGACGACGACGACGCCGACGCCGTTTCTGCCAGCGGCGTCGCCGAGCTCGTCCCGGATGACGATTACGGTCAGTCCGGCGCTGCGGCGGACGCCGGCCTCTTGTTTCGCTGTAGAATTTGTTGGAAGGGTTTCAAGCACCCGATGTCGTTGACACTGCACAAGGACTTGCACACGGGCCAGACCAGATGCCCGATTTGCCAGCGCATCTTCAGTCGAAGTTACGACATGAAGGCACATTTGCTGCGCATCCACAAGCGTCAGCACACATTCAGTGTGTTCGACGTCCAGTCAAACTTTCGAAAGTGATGACGTGACACTTTTCTTGCCTCTTCCGGCTTTTCTTCCGGGTTCTTCCGCCGTTTCTCTCGCAACGGTTTTGCACAAGGTTGATCGTTACGCGAAATATCTTGTTATCGCGAGAAAGATATCTATTTTTAACAGCAGATTTCTCGTGATATTTGTAGCCAAGTGTACTAATCGACACGTTATAAGAGGCTTAAGTACTTATAATGAAATAATGAAAAAGTCAACTGTAAAAGTAATTAAGCTTTAGCAGATGCAAATAACAGGAATTTATTTCCCAAATATTTCTCAAGTTTAACAAAACGAGTTTAATTTTTAAATTAAATTTGAAAATATGTTCGCTGTCAGACGAAAATTTCGCACCGACGATATCGTACAAAACTAAATTACAACGTATACAGTCTAGTGTATAACGTTAGTATTTGAAAATGAAAGAACAAGCGAGATAGATTCTTTTGAAAGAAAAAAATTATACGCTTTAAAAAGAAAAATGATAAATGAATTCATTAAAAGCTGTCACAGATTACAACGAACAGCGATTCTTTCTTTCGATATACTCAGGCCAAGTGACAATATTTCATTCCGGTTGAGTCGTACAAAAATCAACTTCCAAATTATTACATATAACATTCTAAATTATCATACACATAGTATAATGGTACGAAATCGTATGTCTGTTGTAGAGTCTCTAAAAGAATTGGTAATCTACCTGACTAGATGTCTACCCACTAGATCCTACCTAGATACCTACTATCTAGAAGATGAGCATCATGATAGATCTCCAAGTCCGAGTGTAACACGGAACATGTCACGTCATAAGATTCAAAGAAAGAAGGGACCGGCTAGACGAGTAAGGAAACCTTGTAAGAGGTGTTACGAAAATAACATTACGGTATTTAAAAATAATAAGACCGTCGAAGTAACAACCTTCTGTAATGATTGCCTTGACAAGCCCCACTTTTGCCTGCGTTGCTTCAACATAGTACATCACATTATGCCCGATTAAAGTTTCCTTCAAATTCTCTCTGAGCAAATAATATTCCATCATTTTGCTCCGACATATTTTTAAGATCGCACTCTTTATTTTGACACTTGATTATCTTGAGTATCTTCTCTTATTTTTAGATATTAGTTTTACAAAAAATATATCTGTTGTACTCATGCGTGAATATTTTAATTTTATCCAATGAGATGATTTATCATGGCAGCGAACATGTTAATATCGGAAATTAAGATATCTCGTTGAACAATAGCTTTTCAATATGCGCGAGAGAAGAGTTTATCCACCAAACTGATCGAAAAATATTTAACACTAAAACTACGGGGTGTTCCAGAGCTTCCGTGACAACGGCAAATTCTTGAAATTATCTTAAAATAATATCGAAATAATATCGAAATATCGAACTTTAAACGCCGTTAGTTTAATAGTTTTTTAATTAGAAATGTTAAAAAAGGTTGACCGATTAAATTGTCTCATATTCACATTCTCAGACATTGTAGTGTGAAAATATAAAAGATGCCATTCATTTATAATTTCTAAACTAACTTTGATAGCTATGTGATGAGCCAATATTTGTATGCGCCAATTTTAAAGAGTTTGGTCAACTTTAAATATTTATTATTTAAAAACTATTATAGTCTCGGCATTTTGATATTAGAATTTTGATATTAAATTTTCATTTTGAGAATTTATTTTTTTTTGCTATTAAAACGGTTGTCACAAAAGATTTAAAATACTCCGTTTATGTTGATATACTGAAATATTCTCTGTAGAAATAAACAAAAACAAACAGAAAATTACTATCAGGATTTAAAGGAAATCTTGCGCTTATACTATGTATAACGCAAAGGTGTTGAAAAAAGTACTTTGAAATTTTAAGAGAAATTTATATCATTTAATATAAATTTATATTGTTATAATATAAATTTATATTGTTAAATTAATATTGTAACCTATTTATCTTTTCAATATTAATTTCCAACATCAGGAAGGAAGGATTAGACTTATTTTATCTTATTATTTGTTTAACTAAAATGTATATTTATTTTTATATTTCGACACATGAACGCTTAAAAGATCTTGCCACATTAGCTCTATCGTTGAAGCATTTTACATTACCTCTTTTGAAATATTCTTTATGAAAAAATTTGATTTAAACTGATTTAAACAACGTGCCATGAGATAAAAATCTAGCGTTAAGAATTTAAAGAAAAGAATGTATATATAATTATTCCTGTATTATTCTTTTAATATTTAGGGAAATCTAGTGTTTAAAGCTGCATATACAATACTAATAAATATCCGTAAAAAATACTTTGGCTTCCGTCATTATCGATATTCTTGATTCTTTATTAATTGTATTTTATTTTATTTTTGATTTATATTCTCATTATACATTTAATTCTAAACGCGATTGTTGTGACATTTGTCGTAGCTCACAAAGTAACATATTTAATATGATATATAATACGTATACGTATACGTATCACGTTTAGTTCTCTAAATGTGTAATGAAAATATGAGCCAATGTATTATTCAAAATTTTTGATTGAAAAATTTTGGACAAAAAGTATCGGATATATTTTCTAGATTTTTACAAGCAGCTTAGAATATGAACATATAACGTGTAAATTCACTGAAATGTTGCTGTGTCATATATCATCTCACGTGTGTCTATAATGATCTTGCGTCGTATATTTCGAATTTTTTTGTACGTTTGCTAAGTATACTTGTTTAAATAATGTTTAATAAATTGTGTACAATTGCGTACAATTTTGCGTATTATTGGAAATGCGATTATTTTTGGCGACACTACATCGAGTATTGCTACGAGTTTCTAATAAAAATAAATGAAACAGAAATAATTGTATTTCTTATATCAGCATCGCCATCTAATGCATTAATGAACAATTGGAATAATAGCGCACAACGAACGATAAAATAGGAATAAAATAAATTAATAATATCCTGACTGTTTAAAATGACATCGACTATTGTTAAAACTTTGTTAAAATTATAACGTACAGAGAAGAGTTTATTTCTTTATTAATGTACAGGAGATAGGATTTCGCATGTCTCGATATCCAAGCTTTTTGACATTACGGCACTCCCAAAGAATTCTCCTTTTCGTTTCTGGCTGGAAGCTTCATTGAATATGCTTATGGGGACTGTACCTACTTACATTGGTTACGAGCTCTTAACACAAAATCCCGATAGTATCAATAAACGGTACACATACTCGACACAGAATGCGTTGGCGAGTACGATGTATGAAAAGGATCGACCCATCAACTACAATTAACACAATAACAATTAGGACTAGAAAAAAATTACACATTAATAATTTTCCATCATTCATTAGTAATTAATGTTTAGTTCAAAACATAAACACGCACACTTATACGTATTACAAATGACCTATTATAATTGGTTCTTTATTAAAATATTTGAATTTTTAAAATCGTTATTGAACAGTGAACAAATTGTATAATTTAATTATTGCTAAAGTAATTTGTTACAAAGAACATACTTAAAATATTCTATCATCCATTATAAATGACTTTTGATATGTTATATTGTTATTTTGACATTTTTACGATGGGTCGTTCCCCGTCTATTTTGTCGAAAATGTCCCTGACGGCCTGAGACCAAACTTTCACTCATCCACACTAAAGTGAAGCACGATTTAGTGTGCTGTAATGTACAGTTAATTATCTAAATTCAATATTTATATTTAATTGTTCATTCTTATAAGCACACATCCCATGTGCGACTTAAATGTCTTAAATAAACTAAAGAATTTTTTTTTTTTTTTTTGGACTTTGTAATTTTTTTAGATTTTTTTTTATACGCTTAGAAAAATTTTTTTGGAGACAAGAAACCTCTGAGAAATCTCATCTTTTAAATTTCTCGAAATTCTACACTCTAATATCTTATTATTTTATATTATTACCTGCTATCATATTGTTGCAATGATTTAAACAATATTTTAGATTATCATACAAAATTATTCAGGACTCTTTAATCTTTTTTCTAGTTTTAAATTTATTTTGTATTGTTTAATTATGTAATTATTACTGATCACATTAGTATTCTCAGTCTTTAACATCTAGCATTTTGCACTTCATATATCGATGTTCCAATTATAAAAAAAAAAAATCTATCGATATCTATGTGTGCTTATTGAGATTATCTCATTATTATATTTCCCGAAGAAAAAAAAAAAAAAAACAACAACAACTCGACATATCAAAACAACTGAAATCGCGAAATTGATGAGGCACAAAAAAGACGAGACAAGAAAAGTCCAGAGAAAAGCATCTCTTCGCGCACGACGAAATTATTACAATAGAAATATGAGATCGTGTGTGTATGGGAAACACTTTGGATTGTGTGCGCAGAATCAGAGCACAATTACGGGAAGCATCAACCGCAACTGCAACAACAACAACAACAACAACCACCACCACCATCATCACAACAACAACAACCACCATCGCAGCAAATGAGCCTCGTTCTTGATGGGGTCAGGCGCAGATCTAAGCTGCACTACGTGGTGGAAAGCGGTCGTTGGGTGTGCGACGTCTGTGGCCGAACCTACAATCGTGGCGATTCCCTAGCCCATCATCGCAGTATACACAGAGGCGACACGGTCTGTCCGATCTGT